ACAGTTACTGGGTCAGGCCCTGTGCAAGGCCCTGAGGATACAGTGGTAAAGGAGCAGACCAGGGCCCTGGCTTCAGAGAGCTGTCCAGGGGATGGGATGGTTGGTGAACAAAGGCCTGTGAGTGTGGAGCACCACCAGGGAGGAGGGGGAGTCCCAGGGGCAGAGATGGGGCCAGACCCTGCAGTGACGGAGCCTCCAGGAGCAAAGCAGTATTGCAAGTAGTTGGTACCCAGCTGTCTTCAATGAAAGAATGGCTGGGTCCCCTAACCAGGAAGCCCAGAAATAGTGTCACACCTTTAGGTATGCGTGGATCAAGGATACACCAGTGTGTCTTTTTCTAATTTTACTTCCTTTTCCATTGGCCCCAGTCTCTCCTGGGAACGTGGGTTTCCTCTGTGTGGTGGAACGTGACCAGACTCGGATCTGTAGCCAGGAAGGGGCGATCCCCCAAAGAGTAGTGCTGGGTAGAAATCAGACTGTACGTGGCCTCTCTGCCCACCTAGCCCTGCGCCAAGGGCAGGATGGAGTCTGCAGACCTGAGAATAACTGATGGATGAGATGCATCACGTGGCCTCGCCCCGGGGCAAGGCATCACCACAGGACTCATATGGGCTGCCGTCTATAGCACCTCCTCAAGCCCCCGCCTTCTCCTCCCACCCCATCCACACCAGGTCACAATGTTGCAACACATTGTATCTTCCGACAGTGGCCACACAATGTCCCTTTTCACAATGTGACTGTGACACTCCCCCCATTGGAAGTGGAATCGTGTCTTATAACCAGACACCGTGAAAGTGACACTGTGTGACTTCCAGGGCAAGGTCAGAAAAGGGGGTGTGGCTTCAGCCTTGTTTACTAGGATACTTACGGGTAGAACCCTGTGCCACCAGGTAAGAGGTTCACTGTGCTCTAGGGACTCTCAGGCCACATGGAGAGACTACCTGTAAGCTGAGCCCCAGCCAACGGCAGCATCAGCCACCAGCCGTGTGACCACAGGGGAAGAAAAGGCTCATTTCAGAGCCGGGCAAAGCAAGGCTCAGGGGGCCTGTGACTGCCCGAGGTCCCATGGGGGGCTGAGCAGGGTGGAACTCAGTTCTGTGTGTCCCCAGCCGGGCTGGTCAGGGATGACTGAATGACCAAGAGAGGGAATGGGCGGGCAAGGACTGTGGGGCCAGACGACCTGGGTTCAGGTTCTGGTTCTGCCACCCATTTGCTGGGGGACTTTTGCAAAGTCACTTCCCCTCTGAGCCTCAGTTTGTCTGTCTGTAGAGTGGGGCTGAACATACCACCTTTCCTGAGATCAAGCGAGGGCGTGTGTGTCAGTACTGAGCATGCAGATGACAGCCGAGGTGCTTGTCTCTAAGACCAGCAGGTGTAGCTGAGGTGCTGGGCGCGCAGGGCTGGGCAGGGAGCAGATGCTGGGGGAGGGTGGGTCCCTAACCAGCCCCTCGTGGTCAGCCTTGTGCCCCAGCTGTTGCCCCACATGTATCCGCCAGGACAGGACAGCGACTGACTGTGTTGCTTTCGGGTGGCTGCTGACCAGGTAACCGATGACCACAAACTAGGTGGCTTTAAGCAACAGAAATGTTTTTCTCTCGCAGTTTAGGAGGTCAGAAGTCCACAATCGCCATGTCAGCAGAGTTGGTTCCTTCTTGGGGTCTCTGAGGGAGATGCTGTTGAAGGCCTGTCCCCAGGTGCTGGCGACAGCTGCTAATCCTGGGTGTCCCTTGGCTCTCAACTGTGTCAGTGACTCTTCTGGCCCCCTCCATCTCAGACCCACCTTCCCCCATGTCTTTCTCCACGGGCCCTCTCTCATAAGGACAGGAGTCATACTGGATCAAAGGCTACTCTATACCTCAGTGTGACCTCATCTTGACTAGTACATCTGCAAGGACTCTAGTTCCAAATAAGGTCACATTCTGAGGTTTCAGGGGTTAGGACTTTAATGGATCTTTTTAGGTCGCACAGTCAACCCCACAACACCAGCCTCAGGCCCTTGCCTCTGCCCTGTCCCAGCCCCAGGACATAACACCGAGCCCCTTCCTCAGCAGGAGTGGGGTCCTCCATCCCCCCCAGGGTGCAGAACGGGCACAGGGACAGTGTTGGTGGCCAACCCAAACCCTCTCAGCACGCATCATTCCCTTGCACCTTGCATATATTGCACTGGGGGCCTCCAGTTAGAAGCCACGGTGACTCCAGGGCCTAACCCTGGTCACAAGCAGGGCAGCCAGGAGTTTGGGGAAGTTGGAGCCGCCCCACCCAAGCAGTCCTCGTCCACACACTGGCTGGAAGGGAGAAGCGGTCCCCATCCCTCACAATCCTCCCCACTGCCTCCGAGGGCCACCCATGGGACTGCACCCCAGTTGCCCATAGTGGCCTCAGTACACCCACTCTTCTTACCTTCCTGGGATCACCCCCCCCCAAATAAACTACTGGCATTCGAGTCCAGGATCTGCTTCCGGGGGGGGTCCCCAACCTACCTCCACTCCCATGTACCCCCACCCCAGCCACACCATTGCTGTCTTGGTCAGCTTGGGCTGCCATAGCAAACGACCAAATAACCATAGACTGGGCGGCTTAAACAACAAAGTTTTCTCCCAGTTCTGGAGGCTGGGAAGTCCAAGATCAAGATTGCAGCCAGGCGTGGTGGCTCATGCCTGTAATCCTAGCACTCTAGGAGGCCGAGGCAGGCAAGTCACTTGAGGTCAGGAGTTCAAAACCAGCCTGAGCAAGAGCGAGACCCCGTCTCTACTATAAATAGAAAGAAATTAATTGGCCAACTGATATATATAGAAAAAAAATTAGCCAGGCATGGTGGCGCATGCCTGTAGTCCCAGGTACTCGGGAGGCTAAGGCAGTAGGATTGCTTGAGCCCAGGAGATTGAGGCTACTATGAGCTAGGCTGATGCCATGGCACTCACTCTAGCCTGGGCAACAAAGTGAGACTGCCTCAAAAAAAAAAAAAAAAAAAAAAAGATAGATCAAGTTTGCTTGGTTCACAGACAGTGCCTTCTGACTGCCGGCACACACTGCAAAGAGGAAGAAAGAGGAAGCCCTCTGAGTCCCTTCCTTGAAGGGCACTAACCCTGGGTGGGAGGGCTCCACCCTCGTGATCTCATCACCCCCAGAGGCCCCACCTCCTAACACCATCACCTTGGGGTTACGACTTTAGTATGTGAACTTTGGAAGGACACACACATTCTGTCTATAACAGCCCCCTACCTAAGTCAGCAGATGGGAACAGACTCTTCACCCCAGAAAGCCCCACAGGCGTTCAGAAAAGGCTACCTCGAGTGTCCAGGTCACCCAGGCCATGGCAAACATGCCCTGGACTCAGACCCGAGACTGCCTGGCCCAGAGCTCCTGTCTGGGTGTGGTGTGGGGGCCACAGCCTTCCTTTCAAGGGGGGTGGCTTTGGTGTGGGGGCTCCCGGAGAGGGGTCTTGTTATGTTGCAGAAACAGAGGCCTAGACAGGGGAAATGACCTGTCCAAAGGCACATGGCTGAGTAGTGATGGACAAGGGACTTGAACTCAGATTCCCCGGCCCTTCATCACCCACCATCATCATCAACTATGTTTTTGTCACTCCTATAAGCCTGTGCGGCTGTGTGAGTTTTCCAGGGCCACCAGAATAGAGGCTGGGTGGCTTAAGCAACAGAAGCTTATTGTCTCACAGCTCTGGAGGCTCCAAGCCCAGGATCAAGGTGTCAGCAGGGCTGGTTCCTTCTGAGGCCTCTCTCCTTGGCTTGTGGGACCAATCACTCCCTGTGTCCTCATGTGGTCTTTCTTCTGTGTGTGTCTGTGTCCTAATCCCTCTTCTTGTGAGGACATCAGGCATATTGGATTAGGGCCCACTGAAATAACCTCATTTTTACTTGATTACCTCTTTAAAGACCCTATTTCCAAATACAGTTTCATTCTGAGGTATTAGGGGTTAGGACTTTAGCACATGGAGTTGCAGGGGACAGTTCAGCCCATAGCAGAGGCACTTTGCTCCATTAGAACTCTCTGCCCCATGCCTAGGCCAGCAGACATTCTCAGAGAATGTCCATTCAATGAATGAAGTGGCATCATCTTGGTAGGGCTTTTGAGGATGAATAGAAGTTTGCTAGGCAGAGAAGCCACAGAAGGGCATTCCAGGCTTACAGAAAAGCCTGGGCCCCAGTGGGGCCTGCCTAGCAGGGGAGGGAGCTGCACCTTTGGTGGTCAGTGCAGGCAACAGTGGTCCTGGGCTGCCCATCGCAGCCCAGCCGACCTGCTCGTGGTGAGCTGGGCCTCGTTCAGCCTCCACAAGGAGCAGGGCCCCAGCACCTCTGCCCATGGGACCCCAGCTCCAGTGAGTTAGGTATCTCCCCTTCACGCCTGGGTGGGTTGAGTGGTATTTAGTCGGACTTTCATTTTATTGGTGTTTTGTTGAAAGCATAGGAATTATTCATGGTTGGTTTCGGTTCTCTTCCAGCAACGACCACATCTTCTTATGCAAAGTATAAATCATGTGTCAACTCAATTCACTGTCTGTCAGTGGCTGCCACCCGGCATAAACCCACCAAGGCTTGAGCTGCCCTGGAAGCCAGGTCTGGCTGGAGGTGGGGAGGCCTGAATGGGTCATGGTCCCGGAAGTTGCTAGGGACAGGGAACAAGGGAAGCGACCTTGGGAACAAATCCCACCCCATTCCTTTCGCCTCTGTGAGCCTGCTCAGGTGATGTAGCCACTCTGTGCTCAGTCTTCTCATCTGTAAAATGGGCGTTGGTAGGAGTGGTTGGCATGGAGAATCATCCACAGTGTCACCTACTGCCTGGGTGAGCCTGGGCACGTGGGTGCCCTCTAGGAGCTTCCAAGGAAAGGGGACCAGGGGACACTGAGGGAGATGAGACACTGAAAACAGAAGAGCCAGGCTGCGCACGGAGAGGCATGTCCTTTGTATAGCTGGCCTCTTGGGATGTGGTGGTATGAGAACATGGCCCTAAAATTCTTTGACATTCCTCCTATCAAAATTTAGGGTCTCCATTTCTTCCCCTTGCTGCTGCTGGCCTCCACGATTGCTTAAACAAATGTGACAGAAGTGACGATGAATCAGGTCTGGGCCAGGCCTTCAAAAAAATGGCAGCTTCTGCTTTTTGTGCCTTGGGACTCACAGTTGTGGAACCTGGCCACCATGCTGCAAGGAAGTCCAAGCAGTCTGAGGAGGCCAGTAGCCCTGGATGGGCCCAGCTGACAACCTGCACCCACATGCCAGCTGTTAGTGAGCCATCTTGGAAGTGGATCCCCTAGCCCTTGTCATCACACCCCAGCTGCCACCGTGGGAAGCAGAGGTGAGCTATCCCTGCTGAAATTTGCCCAAATCCAGATTCACAAGCAAAATAAATGACTGTTGTTGTTTTAAGCCACTAGTATTGGGGTGGTTTGTTATACAGAAACAGAAAACTAAAATGTGGGTTTTGACTGAAAAGGGTATCTGAGGGTATGCATCCAACAGGCAGCCTGAAGTCCAGCCTCACACATTCCCAAGCTGCCCATGTGGGGACCACAGCAACAGGACACTGATCAATGGTTAATAAGTTCTCAGGGTGAATGGGACTTGGTGGGGGGAGTGCTGATTTGTAGCATCTGCCAATATCCATGGTGTACATCCAGCTTCAAGTTACCAACCTGACGACACAGAATGCAGAGTTGAGATGTATAGTAGCTCACCCTTATCTGGCATTTGCACCATAGATGGCTGCAGCACCCAGCAAAGTCAGTTGTGACTGCATGAGTGACCCCAGGCGAAAACCGCCCAGCTGAGCTCATCCTGATTTCCTACCAGCAAAATTGTAAGCAAAATAAGAGGATGGTTCTAAACTGCTATGTTTTATAGCAATTTGTTGCACAGCACTAGTAACTAGAGCAGCCAATGAGACCAGTGGGGGATAATGCTTTTCAAACAAGTGGAGGGCCACCAGGCTGGGCCAGAGCACCTTTCACCTACCCCAGCTGGAGAATCCATGCCAGTCTGATGCACTCCCACCCTGCCAGCTTCCTGGAAAGAAAGCCAGTGATAAGGCTGACAGCCCCTGGAAGGGTCTCTCATGGGTCCCTTCAGGCTTTGGAGCTTGGGCGACATGTGGGAAAGTCACACACCTCTGGGCTCTCAGCACTACATGGACTCCTACTGCACCAATTCCTACCAGTCCCCACGACATCTCAGACACAGGGTAGAGGGGCCAAGACAGGGCTGGCCAGGGCCCTGGTTTAAAATAGCAGCCACCAAACCTTTGTTTTGTCTGCAGTGCAGCCCTGCCTGCCTGGCTCCTCTCTGGCTGCTTTGATGTTGGTATTTAACCTCCTACTGGGAATCTAAGCCTTCCTAAGCACATCAGAGACCCACAGACACATGCACACTCACACACACACATGCACACACACAAACTCATGCCCACCTGCTTCCCTGAGAAGCCAGGGAAGGTTGCCCAGGCTACAACATCATCCTCACCTCTGCCTACACCCCCACCCCCCCGCATCTGTGTCAGTGTCCTGGGGCTGCCCTACCAAAGCATTACACCCTGGGCGACTTAAAACAACAGAAATTTACTGTCTCACAGCTCTGGAGGCCAGAAACCCGAGATCAAGGTGTTGGCAGGGCTGAGTCCCTCTGAGGCTCTGGGTAGACTCCTTCCTTGCCTCTTCCCAGTGTCTTGTGGTGGTCGCCCAGCCTTGGCGTTCCCTGGCTTGTACCTGCATCACGTCTTATGCCATTTTGGCCATGTGGCCACCTTCCCTACACGTCTGTCTTTTCCTCTTCTTCTAAGACCCCCAGTCATATTGGATTAGGGCTTACCCTAATGTGGTCTTATTAACTTGATCACATCTGCAAAGACCCTATTTCCAAATAAGGTCACAATCACAGGAACTGGGAGTTAGGATTGCAGCATATGTTTTGGGGGGACACAGTTCAACCCACAACAGCACCCTTCAGGTCGGGGTTCAGGCTCCTCCATGAATGCCTCCTGTGGTCTCTCACGCCCCTCCCATACATATGGCCCAGTCTGTCTCTGCATCCGGTGCCAGGTGGTACCTGGAAGTGCACCTTGGGGTGGGAGGGTAGAGGTCTCAGGCACACAGGTGAGTGCAGCTGCCACATGCAGGAAGGACCAAGGATGCTCCTTCACAAAATGACCCCCAGACTCCACCTACGACAGGCAGCACCTGAGGTCCAAGCCAACCAAAGGATAAAATATTAAAATTTTCCCACAACAGGCTGGGCACAGTGGCTCACGCTTATAATCCTAGCATTGGAAGGCTGAGGCAAGAGGATTGCTTCAGGCCAGGAGTTCAAGACCAGCCTGGGCAACACAGTGAGACTCCATCTCTTCAAGAAATTTAAAATTTAGCCAAGTGTGGTGGTGTAGGCCTGTAGTCCCAGCTACTCGGGAGGCTGAGGCAGGAGGATCACTTGAGCCCAGGAGTTTGAGGCTGAAGGGAGCTGTTGATAGCACTGCACTCCAGCCTGGACAGCACAGAATGCCCTGTCTCAATCAATCTACCAATCAATCGGTTTTAAAAAATTCTACCACAGCAGTTTGCAGAGAGATGCTAACCTGAGCCCTCTGGACTTGCCCTGGGACCCCCCCACACACAAGACTCCTAGTAGCTAAAAGACACCTTGGCACAGCAGGAGACCCCTGGGCACCCAGCGTGACCTCATGGCAGTGATGTCCATTCTGAGCAAACATAGGCAGCTGGCTAAGGAAAAGAAGGAAATGAGACTGAAGGAGCACGTGCTCACCTGGAAGACACGCCCACATACCCAAGGGGTGGCCATGGCAGGGCATTTGGAGTCAGAGCAACAGAGCGAGTGGTCCAAAGGCTCCTGAGAGTGGGTCCATGAGATCTGGGCGGAAGAGGCAATCCCAGTCCTGCCTGGGCTGCTCGCTAGCTCTCAGTGTGGCCTGCGCCAGGCCCCCCACCCCCTCTGCCTCTATAGTCACCCTTTGGGATGGTTTCAGCTACAAGTAACAGAAAACTAATGAAGACTTAAGCAAATAAGACATTAAAAGTCTCACATAAAAAGAAGCCTAGGTTGAGGGAACTAAGGGATGTTCACTCAACAGCTTATCCACTTCAGACTTTGATGCCATTTGCTTGGCTACCGCCTTGTGGTCACAAAGTGGCTGCTGAAGCTGCAGACATTCTATCCCATATCCCCTGTCCTCACCATCTCAATGTACATGGGCCCAGTTGAACACCCAGCTGCCAGCATGAGTACTTCTGCACCTGCGGAGTTTTCCAACACACAGAGCCTGTCACCCTCAAGGAGGGTGGGAATTAACTCCCCCCAGGAACAGCCAGCAGCAGTAACCAGTGGGGGCTGGTGGATCGTGTACCCCACACGCCCACTGTGGGTGGCAGAACTCCTGTGTGCCGTTTGCTGCTTCCCGGGGGCCCAGTGGGTTTCCCGCAGTGTCACCTGCCCAGTAGCACCTTTGATTGGTGCTTGTCGTTCCTGCTTCATCCCTACGGGTTTTCCCCAGCTCAGTTCCCGAACAAACTACTTGCCCTCAAATCCTCATCATAGAGCCTGCTTCTGTGAACCTCAGCAAAGACAGCTGTGGCCAAAGACAGGACAGAGGAGGCAAAACTCCTGCCGGGTCTCCCTCTTTTCACCAGGGAGGAGACCCCTCTGGCCGATGTCCCGTGGGCCAAAAGCTGGTTTGTAGCTGCACGTAACACTGGCCCAAGGGGATTCCACAACTGTCTCCGTCCAGTCTGGGTCAGCCCAACCCCTGCCCTGAGGACATTGTCTCAGCCACCTCTGCACATGGGTCCACACTGTGTCCCTGCAAAAGGCAGCTCAGGCTACAGAAGGCGCACTAGGCGCTGAGCCGGGTGTCCTGAGCTCCCCCTGAGGGCTCGGTCAGGCTCCTGGGACTGGATTTCCTCATCTGTAAAATGGGGCTGACAGAGGCGACATCCCATGTGGGTTCATGGGCAATGCTGCTGAAAGTAGGTGACTCGGGGTGGTGGGAGATGGTGGCCTCGCACCAGGCTCTCAGTCGCCCATCTGCCTTTCCTCCCTGCTCTCACTGTCCCCCAGGTGGGCCCATGTCAGCTGAGGCCACGACAACTGACCCCAATTTCTTCAGACTCTCGCTCCTGATGACTCTGCGGGCTGGCTCTGTCCCCCTCCCTCCCTCTCTGAGAGCTGATTTGGAACTGGAGGGCAGTAAGGATTTAGGAGGGAGGCATGAGCCAGAAGGAAACAGACACACATTGAGCACCTCCTGCATACAGCCCCACACTGAGCACCACCTGCTTCAGGACTTGAGGCTGATCAAATCACCCCCGGCCCCTCAGTCCCCACGCCAGTTTGTCCTGAGATGAGGACAGAGGCTTTCAGGAGGCTCTTGCTCAGCCAGGCCGGACTAGGCCCGAGTGGTGCCCCATGCTCCACCCCTACACCCGGAGGAGCAGAGGACTGAGCCAGAATGTGTTCATTGAACATCTGGAATCCTGTGGCTTCCAAAAAGCCTCCCAGACCTGGAACCAAACTGCTCCTAAACGGGGATTCAGAGGCCTTCTGGGCCTGGAGACCTTCGCTGGGCTGGGGCTAGAGGGCCAGGCGGCAGGGACAGGGTAGGGGGCAGGAGCCAGAGCTGCCCTGGTGGCCTCCGCATCTCCCCCTGCTCCTCCTCCCTCTAAAAATGCCCCCTCCAGCTACTGCCTCACGCCTGAAATTCCACCACTGGCTCCACCCGGTACCTAAAGCTCTGGCCGTGCAAGGAGCCACGTGGTGCCAAGGCCAGGGCTGGCACCTGGGCATGCTTCTGGAGGGCGGGTCTGGAGCTGGTCCTGAGGACAAGGAGGGGAAGAACAGGGAGGTGGCAAAGAAGCTTCCAGGAGGTGGAGAGGGCAGCATCCCTGGGGCCTGCTGTGGCCGGTGCACAGGGCTGGCCTGGGGGTTGGGGGGTGCTCAAGAGTTTGGGCTGGGGGGGGAAGGGCATTTATTGAAACCTTAAAATCTGTAGCCCCATAATATGCCGAAATAATAAAAAAAAAAAAAAAAAAAAGAGTTTGGGCTGGGCTGACCGGGCAGTGGGAGACAGGGTGGGGCTGGGAGCAGAAGAGTGCTTAGCCTACACCATTTTGGGACCTAGGATGGCTCTTTAGGTGACACTGGAGAGGGGACAGGACAGGGAAGGAGCAGAGGAAGCCGAGCCAGAGTGACACTTCAGGCGAAGGCTCCAAGGAACCAGGGACCCCGAGTGGAGGAGCCAGGCTCTCAAACTCCTGGACCTTTCACTGGCCTTGCCACACACGGCGAAGCATCTGCAGCAATCGCAGGGCAGGCCCTGGAGGGTGGCACGGTGAGGGGCTGAAGTCAGACTCAGAGACAGAGATTGGGGTGGGGGCCAGGCCCCAGGGAGGGGCCAGGAGTGGGTGTTTAACAGGCACGGAGTTTCAATTGGGGAAGATGGAAAACTTCCAGAAGATGGTGGTGATGGTTGCGCAACAACGTGAATGTGCTTAATGCCACCACCTGTACACTTAAAAAGGTAAAAAAAAAAAAAAATCCAAGCACAGTGGCTCTGCCTGTAATCCCATCAGTTTGGGAGGCCAAGGCTCAAGGCTCACTTGAGGCCAGGAGTTCAAGACCAGCCTGGGCAACATAGTGAGACCCCATCTCTACAAATAATTAAAACATTAGCCAGGTATGGTGGCATACCTCTTGTCCCAGCTACTTGGGAGGCTGAGGCGGGAGGATCACTAGAGCCCAGAAGTTCGAGGTTACAGTGAGCTGTGATTATGCCACTGCACTCCAGCCTGGGTGCAATCATAGCTTTTGTTTTGCTCTTAAAAAAAAAAAAAGGGGCCAGGCGCGGTGGCTCACGCCTGTAATCCTAGCTCTCTGGGAGGCCGAGGCGGGCGGATTGCTCGAGGTCAGGAGTTCGAAACCAGCCTGAGCAAGAGCGAGACCCCGTCTCTACTATAAATAGAAAGAAATTAATTGGCCAAATAATATATATAGAAAAAATTAGCCGGGCATGGTGGCGCGTGCCTGTAGTCCCAGCTACTCGGGAGGCTGAGGCAGAAGGATTGCTTGAGCCCAGGAGTTTGAGGTTGCTGTGAGCTAGGCTGATGCCACGGCACTCACTCTAGCCTAGGCAACAAAGCGAGACTCTGTCTCAAAAAAAAAAAAAAAAAAACAAAAGGAAGGGGTACCTAGGGGGCCTGGGTAGGTGCTATGTCCCATGGCCTCAAGGATGTCCCCCACAGTGTCACATGCAAACTGTCACCAACATCTATCAGTGGGACACTTTATAGAAACGGCCTCCAACCTGCTGTGCCACCATCTTTGTCCCCAGGACGCCCCAAGAGAGCAGCTTTGACCCTCACTCCTGGGCACAGGAGTGGAGGTAGGGTGGGGGCAGGTTTCACTGTGGCAGGAATCAGTCTGTCTTGAAAGGGCACCATGGGGAGTTTACTTCCCTTCTTTTCCTCCTGGAACCCGGTTGTCCCTGGAGACCTAATCCCTTCTGGGGATTTAAAAGAATCAAACTTGCCAAGGAAGAGGCAAGCTCCAGGCCCGAGGCTATGCCAGCTTCCCATTTTAATTGGGACCATTTTTAGCCCTCAGCGGGAGGCTCCTGAAGAACCCTGGGTGTCTCCGTAGCGCCCATGGGAAGGACGTGTGCCCGCTCCACGCCAGGGTCTCCCTGCCCCCATCTCTGAGCCCCCGATGTCCCTGCCAGCTGCCCATCCTGCAGGCCGGGCGTTGAGGCTCAGGAATGGGGAAGGTGTTGCCCAAGGTACCCACCAGACCTGGGCTCAGAGCCTGGGCCCTCAGCGCGGCCGTGGGGTGAGCAGCCGCGGTGCATCCCTCCCGGAGGGGCACTGGAGCCCGGCCCCCCACCTGAAGCACCGTCCACCCCGATTATATGAGGACCCACAGCCCAACCCCCACTTGATGCCAGTGGGACCCCCTGCCTGGTTTACCGGGGACTGTCCCAGTTTCCTCACTGAGCACCTGTTCAGCCCCGGGTACTGGGTGGGATGGTGTCCCCCCAAAAGATGTGTCTACCTGGACCCTCAGAACGGGGCCTCACTTGGAATAACAGACTTTGCAGGTGGAATTGGGGTGCAACTCTCAAGACGGGAGCACCTGGACAGGGTGAGCCCTAAATCCAATGACTTGTGTCCTTTAAGAAACAGAAAACACACACCCACACGGGGACGTGTGACGACAGAGGCAGAGAGTGCAGCCATGCAACTAGGAGCCCAGGAGCGCCCTGCGTGGCTGG